GCTGAGGCGGGCAAAACGACTGTCTGGCACAGAGACACTGCTGGCTTCCTTTGCCGGTTGCTCGTCCTGGTGGCCGAGGCTCAGGGGCGCTCCCAACCGGGTACCAACCGCAAGGCCTCGCGTGTCGAGCTTGGTGCCTGTTCTCCTGGATTTTTGGAAATTCTGCAGGTGTTTTTCTGCCACAGATGCCTGGGATCCACGCTGGCCAGGCCTGGCGTTTCGAGGACCCAAGAAGCTCCTTTTGCGTTCACGTTTGGGTCTTGTGAAATTCCGGGCTTGGAGTCTTACACACGCGCTCTTTCTTTGGGCTTTCGTCGTTCCAATCTGCACTACATTCCTGCCGGTTGGCCCTGGCACTTTGACATTCTTGCGTTAAGACTACTGGAGGACGAAAAGTCCCTAAAGCCTTAGCCTTAGACTCAGACCTTCTGGATTCTTATTATACCGAAGCCAAGCTCGTTGCATAGAAAAACCAAGAGCACCAGGCCAAGATGACTGTGCTGCCGTGTTTTGAAAGAGAATGCTCAGGGTTTGGGGTGTACGGTCGGGCTTTGGTTGAGGGTTTCGCAGGGGTCGAGGGTTCTTCTTCTTGGAACAACAGGGCCTAGTACCCCAGTAGCGGCGCTTGCGGTGTTGCATGTCTTTAGGGTTCTGGGTGCCACCCGCAATCTGCAGCCACTCCTTGTGGGATTTCGGGTTTGGGGGAACCAGGCAAAGCTCTGAGCGCTAAGCCTGTTGAGTATATCACTTAGCATTCCCGCAACCAGTGTTTGAGAACCAGAATCACGGTCTTGAGGGTTTAGGTGCGCCGCCCATCCTTTCCCATTCTGGTTTCGAGGTGTCGGGTTTTTGCTGCTGCTGCGGTCTGTCTTTTCGGGGGCTTTGGTTTTGGCCACCCATCATAACTTCTGGTGTCTTTTTTGGCAGGTGCTAAACACCCAAGAGTCTCAACTACGCTCCAAAATCTCCAAACTGGGGTCACACAAGGATCAAAAGCATTCACCAACATGTACGTTGTTTGGAATTCCGTTCGGATTTTCGTGTTCGCACAAACAACAATTTTCGCGTGGCAAGCGTGGCATTTTCGGCAGTAATGCATTTGTCCTCACGACAACTAGGTTCGGGCTGGGTCTTGGTCTTTGCAAAAATCAAGACCTAAGAAAGACGCATTGTTGCTCATTGGAAGTCTGCCTCGGCACAAGCGAGCTATCCTGCAGTGGCAACACATATATGGCACCATATATACACCAAGACTCCGGCGCGGCAAGACGTGCTGTCGGCGTCAGGGTTCAGATCTTGTGCAGACTCCGCTGATCGGGACCTGTGCTTCAGGCACAGGTGCCAAGTGCCTGATCTGATGCGCTTATAATCTGTACGGATGCTCTGCGACAGGAATGCAACGAATATGGGATGTGCATGGTGGATGCCACATTGAGGAGCTGTCACCCCTGACCTCACGCCCAGTGCAGGCATGTTTCCATGTCGAAGGGCATTCCCGGTGCACGAAACATCACGAGCTCCTCGACGAGAGCTGTGCCCGCTTGGTTCTGCGGATGCAGCCTCGCCTGCCCAAATCTTTTGGCAAGAATTGTACCTCCGCTACGTAGCGCCAGATTTATTTGAATGCTGTGCTCTTGCAGGCTGGTGCAACCTCGACGTGTGTGCCTTACAGTGTCATGTCCAATGTGAATACGTGATACCTCAAACGGAAATGGCACGCAGGGCAGAGGTGGAAGAGCGTGGGACTCGAGGTCCGGAAGCCGCGGCAGCGTTGGCTCATCGCCAGCTTCGTCACCCGTGGAGGATTCAGGTGATCAGAAGAGTGCTGGCATTCAAGTGGCCACGGACAACCTTCCGTCTGCAGTGTGGATTGCCACTTAATTTGTCCTGTTAGTGAATCAGAGCTCGAAGTTGCGTCACATTCTTCCGACCTCGAGAGTGCTGGCAGGCTTGAGCAAAGGTTCAATATCTCAGCTACAGGAGAAAGCCTGGCGCAGTTTGCAGAAAGGTTGCTAGAGTGCAAGTCGAGGTGGCCTGATTCGAGTGATAGAGACTAATGTTTCTGGAAGCAGAGAGAGGCATGTAGTTTATCGGCTGTTTACCCAGTTGTACTACTGCGAAGCCAAGCATTCCATCACCTGCCTCCATTTACAAGTGTTGCAACCGACCTGCGAGTCTGTGCAGGCCCAGGCAATGCAATGCGCGTGATGCACGTTCAAGTTGCAGGGCCAACCTTCAGTATGCCACCAGCATCAGTGTTTGTAGTGCCCTTGCCGACCATGAGCTTCACAGCAAGCTTCTAGGCCTGCAATATTCAAGATGAAGATATGACTGCAATTGCACGATTGCTATGACAGGCTGCAAAGGTGAACAGCTTTTTCCGCTGATTGCCAGGTTCGTCCAGGGCGCGAAACTTTTTCCCATGCCGCCGAACTGCCCCGTGCTGCAGCCCTCATCCCAGCCTACCCTGCAACGCGTGTGAGAGCTGGGGCTTCTTGCAACGAAGGCAGTTCTGCTTAGAGCATCGCAGCGGTTCTAGGAAGCACGGCATGACTTCTTCAACCTTCAACACGACCTTCTCACGTAGCTTTGCAGACTGATTGTGATGTTGTTGCATGAATACATGTTCGCCCCGTGTGTGATTCCGAGCTGGCAAGGTGGGACTACGACACTCGCATGGCAGGAGCCCGAGCTGTGATGTGAGAGAATCGGTGCTGCCCATTTGAGCATGTCTCGCATGAAGGTCGGGACCACACTGGAGTTTCGTGCGGTTTGTTCATTTCTGCTGGATGGCGTGGCGCACCACACAGTCGGGGCCGGGACCTTGGTAGCGTCAGTAGCGTGAATGACTGCCACGGCCTTTTCACCAAGCTCTGTCTCCATCCATGTGGTACAGAGTGGAGTGCATCGCAGTTGCAAGCTGAAGGGACAGTTCCATGTGATATCTTGGTTTGCTCGATTCTTGAGATCTGGCGGCCTTCGAAGAAACTCGCCCAGCGTGATGCCGCAGAGAGGGTCTGAGCCTCTGCAAGCAGGGCATGGACAGCTGCCAGAGGAGTGAGTGAAACATTGGCTCCTTCTTGCACTGACTATAGAAATGCTTTGCAGACACTTGGCCTCTTCGTGAGCCGATGGGCCTCGTTGATTACCTTGGATGAGCTCGCAGGAGCGCGTTGGCGACCGTTCGAGTTGCTTCGATTGTGCTGTGAATGGGAAGAAATAGGCCTCCAACTTCCTCAAACTACTCTGCCCGCGTGTCCCGGAAAGATAAAGTGTTGGACTTCATTACCTTGTACAGGAGTATATAGCCCAGCACGAAGCAAACAACCTGCAATGGGCATAAGTCGTGGAAAGTTCGAACCAGGCGGTGCTGGAATGGGCCTGAGTGCAAGCGCCCATGCCAGGAACTCGGGATCAGGACCCGCTGCCTGAAGCTCGAAGCGAGGCTCGGGTTTCGAGCCTCGAGGGCAGATGCCAACTCGGGCGCTCTACCGTCCTGTCATGCGAGGTGGAGCTGTTGGAAAAGTTTTGCCAAAGGCACGGCAAGCTCGCACCGGCTTTTGCACATTGCGGAATGTTGGTCATGTGACAAGTAACCAAGAGATTCGGATTGCCAGTGACAAAAACTCATGCGCAAGTTGCAGTGTCCTGGCCGCCTGGCAAGCTGCTGCATCAAGAGCTTCTTGCGGGCATGCAGGCTCTCGTGGGATTGTCCTACCGCGGTTAGCTGGAGCCATCGGCCTGAAGCCGAGCATGATGCGAAAGTCTCCACGTGACTGCATGATACTCCGTAGCTCGGCTGCGGCTCAGTCAGCAACGACACGACACACAGTATGAAATATGAATTTACCAGTTCCTGTCAGGTGGGAGGACGGACTTTGTCAGGCTTTCGCTGAAGTTCGTCTTCTGGATGCATGGAACTCGGTACTGTACTGCTTATATGGAGCTGGTCTCTGGGCGAAGAGGATATCTGCGAGTCTTCCAGCCTTCATGCTGGCCCAGGTGCCGCACACCTTCCCTAGCAAGAGTCACTCCACCCAGGAGGAGTTGTCCTGCGCGCCTGAGTGAGAGGCATGAACTTTCCCGGGTCTTTGGTTCTTGTGGCATCATCTCGCCGAGCCTCCAGCTATCACTTCATCGGTATGTCACGGAATGTCTCTCGCTTGCATTGCAGGAGGCTTACGAAGATGCCGCTCGCAGAGTACTGTGGTACTTGCAATGCCCCGGATACGAGGACCGTCGTTCTGGTCTCGCTCGCAAGTCCACAAATGGAGCGCCAGAGTCCGAGGAGAAGTTCGAGCCCGACACCAGCTACGTCAAGGCAGTTGCACAGGCACGGCGAGGGCCAGGGCCGTGAGTCGCTCATCAGGGATTTTGTGCCCTTGGAGTTGTGGCAGCCCGGATGCTGCTGCACATCCTGCAGCAGGATCTCTTTGGAAAGGAGTCATAAACAGATTCCGTACCTGGTGGTTGCTTTACGTATCATGACTCTCCGCATCTGTGTATATATGAAATGATGCAATCGTTGAGTCGAAGCACATGACATTCTCAAAATGCTAACCTTTTTCAATGGTTTCTACTGGCACGTCGGGACCGTGTGAGATGTCCACGTCTTCGCATGTGCTGAGAATGCCGTGCAAAGGACATTCCAGAACCTAGCGCATGCTGGAACAAGGATGACAATCTGCAGGAAGGCGGGATTCCATGACTAGTGAACACTCAGTCCAGAGATGTGGGGCATTCAAATCTTGGTGGCTCCTTGAAGGAGCATTCCTCAAAGCAGGGTTCAAGGAATGGCCTAGTGTCAGCCTGCATTGCCACAGGCTGCACCTGTCTTCTGCTCGTGCCCGGTCGAAGTATCGTATGTTTGGAATTCAGATCCCGTACACCTTGAGTGCGAGGGATGGGGTGTGTACTAGGCAGATGGCTCTGTCTAGTCGAGGAGCTACTGTAGGCTGTTTTCCGAGCCTGGCAGGTGGGGAGAAGTCCCTGGCAGAAAAGCAGAGCTTCATCTTGAGGGTCTTTGCCTGAGGAGCTTCTGCTCTGGGCCGGTCGGCTGGTCTTTGAACTTCCTTTTTGCAGGGCACAGATGGCTCAGCCAAGCCGCAGAATAGGATTGAACGTAGTTGTCAGGTGAGGCACACTCCCCAGCCAATGTTCAGGTGCAAGATCGCCTTCAGCAGGTCCTGCTGACTCTTCTTGGAAGTGAGAGACTGCTGTCTGTCTGTCTGTCTGTCTGTCTGTCTGTCTGTCTGTCTGTCTGTCTGTCTGTCTGTCTGTCTGTCTGTCTGTCTGTCTGTCTGTCTGTCTGTCAGCTAAGCAGGAGAGTCATCTCGTCGGAGTTTTCGAACTTCGTAGTAGTGTCTGTGCATGATGCGTGCATCTAATCTAAGTGTGCACAGCGCCGTAGCATCTTATTGGGTGAACCTGTTGACTTGCTGCGACTGTCCTTGCTCGCATGTCTCGTTGGCATGCTCATGTTACCGGCAAGTACCGGCGCTCCTGGCACAGGCGATGAAGGCTCATGCCGCAAAGACGGTCCAAACACTGGTCACACATATTTGACGTACTTTCATGTGCTTCGTGCAAGATCAATCAATCCTCTGTAGCGAGGGAACGACGCGTGATAGATCGGCATTCACGAACGTCAGGTGTCCTCGTGAAGGGACTGCCACTCTTGTCGCACTGCTCCAGAGTGTTGGAATCTGGTATCCCGGGAAATACTTGATGCTCTACTTTTTTCGGCCATTCTAGACTTCCGCTGAAGAGGGCAGTGTCACAGTTCAACGTGGGCCTTGGGCCTTCCAGCGCGAACAAATCCGCCCTGCCCACAAGATAGGTACAGTCTGTATTCGTGTTTCGACGCATGTTCCAGGCTTTTGGGCAGCTAGAATCTGGAAAACCCGTGCCGAACCAAGTTCAGTTGCCTGAGTGTCCTTCGGACATCGGCAGGCAATGTTGCTTTGAGCCTGCTGCAGGTCTGGTACTGGAGCTTCGAGCGAGACTTGAAGGCCTTTGTTTTTGTTGTCCCTTCGCACCCCTGCTGTGAGTCTGTGGTGCTCATGCCAGGACAAGGGTTGGCCGCCGCTGTTCAGGGCAAATGCGTGAAGCCCTCGGTCCAAAGGCATGGCTCTGCTGCGCTGCCTACTTCTCGCGCTGTGCGAGCCCAGGACCGTGCCTCTGGTCAACCGCAGCTTCCTGGGCCCCTGGGAAAGGGGGTGCGCCCGAAGTTGAAGCGCAGTCACCAAGCGCAACTATGCCTTTGCGCAACTCGGATGTGTTGCAAAGGCAGCGTCAGGCGCAGATCCAAACTTGTGTCGGAACCTCAGGGTTTCATGCGTGCGCGTGCACGCAGGCTTTTGCTCGTCGAAAGATCGTTCAGGGCGACAACTGTGTCAATCCAAACGCACCGGTCGGTGAGTCCTGCTTGTAGCTGGTGTCCTGTTGTGGACCCGCATACAAAAAACAACATGGCCTTATGCTGCATGATGATGTCGAGGCACAAATCTCCCAATTTCTCGACGAAGAGTGTCATCGAATCAGCGGATGAATAAGCTGCTCGGACAGGGACACGGTGTCGCAAGCAATTCGGAAATAGCTACCGTTGCATCAGTTGCGGTTCCGAGTTTTTGTGGTTGAATGGTGTGGTTTTCGCTGAGGCCAGCATTTTTACCCGGAAGTTCATTCTTGGAAGTTCATTCTGCGGTTTGCCTTTGACTTCGAAGCTGCTCCCGCGAAAACACGCGCGATGCTAAATGTTTGCTTGTTCAGCATGCAGTGATATGCAGTAAAGTCGGCGGAGATGCGAACGCAAGCCACTTTTGACATGGTGTTTTTTGATTTGCAGTGAATTCCTGGCTACTGACAGGCTACAGTCTCAAGCACTGTGGACAATTTCAAACACCGTGAGCTACACCCCTGCTTTTCAGAGTGCCCCCTGTCACTTGCCCTGTGTGGTGTTATTGTCGAACTTGTGTGTTCCACCTTCTGCGCAGTCAACACACGCTCCCTGAGCTTGCAACTGTTCAAGGGTTTTTCCAAATAATGGTCCAATGGTGCAAGCTAGAAGAATCGCAATGCTCAAATCCAGAGCTTTCCAAAGAGGGCTGAGGGAATCTTCGTTACGGGCGCAGTGAAGTGCCTTTCATGAAGTTCCTGATGCAGAGTAAGGAGAGCGCCCAAACTCGGGAGGGTCAACCACCAACCTCAATCTCTTTTCGGTGTCATAGTGTTTCCGGAACACCTGGCTGCCACTGCGAGGGTAGTGCGAAACACTGACTGAGGCAATACACGGCATCACCCTGGCTTTCTGCTGCACGCACCTGAGTAGTGTAGCGAATGAGGCAATCGCTTACCTTTGCTGAGCCAGGGCCTGTGAAACATATCGTGCTGCAGAATGTGTGCTGGTGAGGCCTCCACAAGTGAGCAGCAAGTAGCCACTAGGCCACATTAGGCACTCTCTGAGAAGGACCAGGATCGAAGGATGACCGGCGTCGAGCAGTCCCTTTGATGGACCGCCGACATGTCGGGAATGGTTTGACGAGATTAGGATCAACTGACCTACCTAATGGTACTTCTGTCCCATCAGATGCATTGGTGCAGAAGCTGGCTCTTTGATCCTGTGTCAGTGGAGGGACTTGCAATTAGAAGGCGTGCCGCGAAAAGCCAGCCTTCTTATGCAGCAGCTGGGCATTGTTAGGAATGTAGGCACTGTATGCCGGAAGAAGCAAAAGTGCCGAGACCACAGCACGGCAGTTCGAAACCAGTCTGTAGGCTGTTCTTGGTTGTTCTTCTAATCCTTCCAGCGATGTAGGTTGACCTTCTTTTCCCGAGGCACCTAGTCCAACGTGCTGCTGGAGTAGCTGCGATGTAGGTTGTGAGTAGGTGCACGAGGATGTTCGCCAGATTCGGAACATGAAGGCAGAGCTTCCCACGGTAAAAGCTGTGATTGTGGCGAACATCATTGACCCAACAGGATGCTGGCATCCCTGCGAAAGTGCTCGGATGGCAAAACAGTTAGGGATGACCTTGCCTATTTTCAACCGATGGCCCCCCCCCCCCTATGGTTCAAACCTCATTCCATAACTACATACCAATTTAACCTTCCAATTTCACCCCAAAACCGCCCTCATACACCCTTATCTAAAAAAAAACCCTCTCAACCCCTCGCCCCCTCGACGCCTCAACCCTTAAACCCCTTC